TGGATGATGCTTGAAGCAACCTGAGCTGGTGGAAGGTGTCCCTGCCCATGGCAGAGGGTGGGACTGGATGAGCTTTAAGCTCCTTCCAACCCAACCAGTCTGTGATTCTGTGATGTTCTGCTGCAGCTGTCACAAGTGCAGATGGCAACTGATTTCCTTTTGTCTCTCACACAGATTCCATTCCGCAGGGAGGTGACCCTGGGCCAGACTGTGATCACCAAGAACAGGAATGGCCTCTACTACAGGTGCAGAGTGATTGGCACAACCACACAGACATTCTATGAGGTCAACTTTGATGATGGTTCCTACAGTGACAATGTTTACCCAGAGAGCATTATTGTAAGTTGTGGAGATGATGTTGTAGTTGAGTGTAAAGTGTGGCATGTGCCTTCCTCTTCTGTGTGCTTTGGGGTGGAACAGCAAACTTAAAACTGAAGAAAAATGAAAATGAAAAAGTAAAGTTGCTGCTCACATAGAAAAATCTCATCCTGCTTTTCATTACAGTTCTTGTTCCTGACATGATCTCATTTATTTCTCTGTTCCTTTACAAAGATGTGATTTTGCTGTATGCAGATGACTTCACAGAAAGCACTGCTTGTTTTCAGTTGCATCCTATTTGTTTTGTGCTTGAATAATCTTATTTTTCCACTGACAAGTGTGATTCATGGGGGAAGGAGATTTGGCTGTAAGCACTTCTGGTTCAAAACAGGGAATTCACTTAATAGAGGGAATGTCTAGGAGAGGTTGACTTGGCAGCTCATGCATTGCCTTCCTGATTGTGCCACTGATTCACTGTGTTGCCCTGCTTGGTTTTGAGATAGAGGATATGTGATGGTTTGGGATTTGCAATGAGAAATGTCCCAGAACTGGGGACTGTCAGCAGAAGGAGGTGCCAATGTTGATTCCTAGTCTCTCATGCTTGTTTTGTTTAAGATGTCAGCAATTAATCACAAGTGCAGAAACTTAGCTTCTACCTAATTATAGTGTTATGTCTCAGCTTCCTTGAGCAGTGATTTTTAACACACCTCTAGTTTCTGAGCTTTGTTGGTGTTGACTTTCTAACCTCTTTCACTCTTGTCTTCAGAGCAGGGACTGCATCCAAATGGGTCCTCCTCTGGAGGGGGAGCTGGTTCAGCTGCAGTGGACGGATGGAATTGTCTATAAAGCCAAGTTTATTGCAGCCCAGATCAGTCAGATTTACCAGGTGAGTATGGATGGTACCCAGGAGCTTCAGGGCCATGTGTCTGGTGGTTGTTTGAACTGTATAGCTCAGTGGTGTTGAATGTCTGCTCTGGCCATGAGGAGAATTTGCCCTCTGAAGTTGATATTTCACGTAGGCTAAAGAGAAAGAAAAGAAAAAAGTGTTAAAAGAGGGTCAGGATGAAAGTTTTCTGGGGCAGAATGTGGATGTATGGATAGACACACATCCAGACTCTTACCTGCTTCTAGCTCAGGTCAGAAGTGACCTACTCAAATACTCACTGGCAACTGGAGCTGAGTAGTCACAGACTGACTCAGGAAGGACCTGAAAGCTCATCTCATTCTACTCCCTACCATGAGCAGGGACACCTCCCACCAGCCCAGGATGCTCCAAGCCCCATCCAACCTGGCCTTGAGCACTCCCAGGGATGGGGCATCCACAGCTTCCCATCCTCATTATTTTAAGAACACCCAGAGATGAAATGCTTTCTCTGTGTGGATGCAGCAGGACAGTGGCAGAGCAAAGCTGGGCCCCTGGATACAGTGCTCAGCACACCCAAGTCTCTGCAGCTCTCTTGGAGCCCCTTGAGGCCCTGGAAGAGACTCTAAGATCTCCCTGGAGCTTCTCTTCTCCAGCCTGGCCTGGAACACTCCCAGGGATGGAGCAGCCACAGCTCCTCTGGACAAGACTTTCCACCCTGTGTTTGATGTATTTGTAAGAGCACAATAACCCCCTGGTCAGCTCACAGTGGGTTTGGTCATGCCTGAGAGGAGATGTGATCTGAGGTGACCCTGGTTGTGCATAAGGACAATCTAGAGCTCCATAAAGCTGTATTGTTATCCATGCTTGCCAGTTTAATCACAGCACAGGAAATTGTGGTGGATTTTTCAGCAGACAATCATCTGAAACGTGCTGTTCACAGATAGCGACAGGAAAATACACAGGAGGAGCTTGTGGTTTTCAGATCATGTATTACCTGTGAGCAAAGCTCTTCTCCAGAGGGAAAACAGCCTGGGTAGCTTTCCACATTGCTTCCCTCTGCACATGCTTGGCAGCAGAATTCTGCTTCAAAACACAGGGGCAGTTTTGCTGTGAAATGTGTGTTCATTGCTGAGCTTTATGTTTTAAACCTGCCTTATTTTGCAGTACCCTCCCAGTTCATACCTCAGTCTCTGTTTGGGGTGTTCAACTTTGCTTTTAAATTGAGACCAAATGACTCTCTTGGAACTTGCTGTAACCTGTGGGTCCAACCCATGGGTTATCTAAAGGGTCTAAGCCACATCAGGAGTTTGGAACTTAACTACCCATGGTCCAACCACTCTGGTGGTTAAGATGGCACTGCCCTCACTTCCCAATCCTGCTCTTCACCTACATCCTGCCCTCAACCTAGGAGTTGAGCTTGTGTCATGGATCTGCTGGTGCCTTGGCTCTTCCACCTTGAAATTCCTGTGTCCTTCTGACTCCATTACATAGTGATGCTCTAAAACCAGGGATTAAATAGGACCAGGAGCATCTTAAACCTCCTCAGCAGAGCTCATCTCTCAGAGCTTGAGCTCCCACCTGCCCAGTTATCCCAGCTGAAGGATTCTGCTCCATGACAGCCTGTGTAGGATGAGCTGCCAGACCTGGGCAATGCAGGAGGAGGAGTTGGGAGCACAGATGTTTTATTCCTTCTGGATTTGTCCAGCTTGAACCTGACACCCTTATTAAACTCTGGTCTGTGTCCTCCTGCTTTATCCAGAAAAGTGTATTCAGTCTTGTGAGCAAAGGAAATAAGAATCTCTTCAAAACTTTTAATAGTTTTAACATTTTCCTGTGCACATTTCCATGAATAAACATTCCTGGAACATCTGATGCATAATTCATGATATAATCAGTGCTTAGTGAAAAAGGATTTGAAGGGAGAAATTTTTTTTTTTTTTTTGTACCTGGCTGAATATTTCTGCTGGTTGAAATACAAATGTAGTTGAGGAGCTGGAGCTGTTTCCTTGTGACCTGTGAAAATGCTTTGTTTAAGATTAAAGAAATTCTTCTTGCCATGTTGGCCTGAACGCAGAGCTGCTTTTATTAGAAGGGAAAAGCTGCTTTGTTCAGGATGAGAATCAAAAATCAGGAGGAATGTACAGTGCTGTGCCTGGGAAAAGAGAGCAGAGGTGCTAGGCCAGCTGTAGTACTGATGTTTTGAAATCCATGGGAGCTCTGAATGAAACCACTTGGGCTGGATAAGACAGGAGTGTCTGAGCAGCACTGAAAGCAGCACTTGTTGGGGTTCAACATCCTTGCCAGAGCTTAGGGATGCTCATTCCACAGCAATCCTGGAGACACAGTGCCAAGAAGAGGCTCAGCCATGGGAACTGGCCCTTGATGCTTCCTTGGTATTCCCTGAAGGGACCAGCACAGGCTGGGAATGGACTGTGGGAGTGCTGGAGAAGGCCAAGTTGTGATTTCATTTCATCCTCTGCCTCTCTGCAGGTGGAGTTTGAAGATGGTTCTCAGCTCATGGTAAAGCGTGGGGATATTTATACCTTGGAGGAAGAACTTCCCAAGAGAGTGAAGTCTCGTCTGGTGAGTACCAAACTAACCCAGGATAAACCAGCTGGGGCTGTTTCCTGTGCAAAACCCCTTCCCATTTTCTTCCTGTCTTTTCTTAGACATTAGGTGAGTGCAGCTTCCAATTTCTGGGGCTGTAAAACCACTTGTCATTCTCCAAGTACAGAGAGAAGGAGAAATCCTTGCTGTGAATGCCTGAGAAGCAGCAAAATGCTTTTCCCTTGCATGTGTTCAGATTAGGTTTTTATTTTCTCTGGTTAAAAGATTATGTTCAGATCATTTTACACCATATGAGTTTAGTTATGTGGAGCCATTCTGTCCAAATGTGAGGTGAATTGGGCTACAGTTCAGTGCTTTCTGGAGAACTGATTAGCAACATGGGACCAAAACCTCTTTTCTCACCAAACAGGAGATTTACAATGTTCCTCTCACCTATAAATCTCTTAATCTAAAAGATCAGCCTGTCTTTAAGTGCATACAGTGGAATTACTGAGCCTAGAAAAAAGGAGGGATTTATTTCCTAGCTTTTATTTTTGGTTCCAGACTTGCTGGGTGTGTTCAAACCTGGTGCTTTAACCTGTAAAAACCATCTCATTTAAACAAACAATGACACTGGAGAACAGCCAATTTTCTTCTTCATTCTAACTGCAGCACAGGGGTGGATCCAGAGGCAGCCTGGGATAAGGTTCAGGATTTTGTCTCTTTTTAAGGAGGATGGTTCAACCTTCCCTTAAGGATATATGAACTGCTGTACCCAACCAGTGCTTCCCTGACCCTGGGGATGGATTTGTGGCAGCAGCAGCCCAACCAGTGCTTCCCTGACCCTGGGGGGATGGATTTGTGGCACCAGCAAGAGGTGCCCATCAGCAGAAATAGCCTGGGGATAGGCTGTTCTAGGGAGGGACCCAACCAGTGCTTCCCTGACCCTGGGGGGATGGATTTGTGGCACCAGCAAGAGGTGCCCATCAGCAGAAATAGCCTGGGGATAGGCTGTTCTAGGGAGGGACAAGTTGGAGAGGTGCCCATCAGCAGAAATAGCCTGGGCACAGGCTGTTCTAGGGAGGGATAAGTTGGAGGAAACTTTTGTTCCCTTTTTCCATGAAATCATCAAAGATTCTACCTCAAAAAACCCAACAACCCTTGTAAAATGCTTCTGTAAAGTATCTCTGGTGGCTTCTCCATCTTGTTTGAGTTTGTTTATCTCAGCAAGGCCTCATGGCCTAAATTTTAGAGGTTAATAATTTATCTTAGAATCATAGAATCAACCAGGTTGGAAAAGACCTCCAAGATCATCATGTCCAACCTTACCATGGTTACTAGACCATGGCACTAAGTGCCACATCTGGTTATCCTTGTAGGACTTCTGGTGGCAAAGCACCACCCTAGGATTCATTTTGAAGCCCTGCACAATATTTCAGTTTATTTCAGCTTTTCTAGTAATAAAGACAACATATTGGAGCCCTGAAATCCAGGATTTGGAAAGAAATGTGTTCTGTGCAGTGGAGACATCAGGCTTTGTAGCAGTTCCAGAGGAAGGAATGGAAGCTGGAAAGGGAATAGAAAGCTTTAAGTCTGGTTGAAAGCTAAAGCTTTTCTCCTGTGTTAGTGTTGGCAGCAGTGTTAGCTCTGTGATGTTCCTGGTGCTGTACCTGGAGCAGCAGGACAAAGGGGAAAAGCCATAAGAGATAATGATTTCTACCAAGAAACCACAGAATTCCAGGATGGATAAGGTTGGGAGGGACCACAGTGTGGTCATCTGGTCCCACCTCATCTCATTTGAGTGGAAGCAAATGAAATATATCTCAGTGGGGAGGGTAAGAGGAGGAAGAGAAGGAGTTGGGCCTGTTCAGACTTGAGAAGAGATGACTGGGAGGGACCTCATGGACTTGAGTCCATGAACAGGAAGTGCCAAGATGATGGATCAGACTCTTCTCAGTGGGGGAAAACCAATAAAACAAGAGGTAACAGCAAAAACTGATGCACTGAAAGTTCCACCTGAATAGGAGGAGGAACTTCTTCCCTGTGCAAACCCTGAGCACTGAACAGGTTGCCCAGAGAGGTTATGGATTTTCCCTCCCTAGAGATATTCAAGGTCTGGACTCAATCCTGAGCCATGTGCTCCAGGATGGCCCTGCCTGAGTAGGGAGGTGGGACCAGATGACCCATTGTGGTCCCTTCCAACCTGACTGTGTTGGTGTAGTGATCTCAAAAATGTTTTCTATGAGTCTTTGCTCAAAGACATTAGGGAAGCCCCAATTTCCCTTGTGTCCTGTACCAGGAGAAGAGGCAGAGGAGGATTAGGCATAAAGGGAATCATAGAGTCAACCAGGTTGGAAAAGACCTCAAAGATCGAGTCCAACCCTAAGGAGGATTGGTGAGGCAGGACCCAAATTGAAAACTATTCTGAGGCAGCTGGAAGGTTTCTCCTCCTAGTTTGGTTCCAGAATCCCAGAATTTTTCCTCCCAGCCATGTGCTTTGCATGTTTTGGAGTTCATTTCCCACAGGAACGTTCTGCCCCAGGTTGGGCCCTGCTGTCATATCCCTCAGCTGAGCTCCACACCTCACTCTGTGTCTCTGCCTTTCTCCTGCCCTGCCTTTAATGCTTGTGTTTCATGTCTCCTGCAGTCCCTGAGCACTGGGGCCCCTCAGGAAGATGTCTTTTCTGGAGATGAAGTGAGACCAGCCAAACGTCCCCGGCTGGGGAATCCCAGGAATCCTGAAGAATATGGACAAACCCCAGATTATTTGGCCTTTATGGAGAGCCTGTTGCAGACACAGTACCAACCTGGGACTCAGAACAACATGTTTTAACCAGGATGAATTCAAATGAGCAAATTAACCCTTTTGGAGTTGGTGGAAAAAATAAAATAAAATAAAACTAAGGAACTGTGGAATGAAAGACCAGCCCTGTGCAATAGTCTGCTGTGAATTTCTTTCATCTCCTCTTGGTTTGAACTGCAGGAAAACTCTGTCTGGCTGCACGCTACCTCTACCTTGCCAGGTATTGCTGACCAAGAGAGTGGAGAGCTTGGAAACCCTTCAGCCAGCATTTCACATGGAGACTTTGGAAGAGTTTCTACAGATGGAGCTTTGTGACTGGCTCTGGTTTGGTTTTGGTTTGTTGCCTTGCCAGGTATTGCTGACCAAGAGAGTGGAGAGCTTGGAAACCCTTCAGCCAGCATTTCACATGGAGACTTTGGAAGAGTTTCTACAGATGGAGCTTTGTGACTGGCTCTGGTTTGGTTTTGGTTTGTTGGGTTCTTTCTTTTTTTTTTTTTTTTTTCTTTTTTTTTTTTTTTTACATGAGGCTTGGAAAGGGTTAAAATTTAACAAAAGGACTTTTTCAAACCTGTCAAACTTTTTGTCTTTCAAGGTGCTATTACATTGACTACTGAAGCAGCCTTTGGAATAGTGTTTTCTGTACATAGATGTCACCTTTGTCAAGTTTTCTATGAATGAGCGTTGTTAAAAAAAAAAATAAGCAAGCAAAAAGAGAAAACAAAAGTTTCCACACACTCTAAAAAAAGACACACACACAGACACACAACATTTTTTTGCTAGATGGTGGCTTTAAAACAGAAATCAAGGAAATCCTCTCCCCTCCTCCCCCAAATGACTTGTGACTGGGGAGGAGAAGGGAGTGCAAGATGTCCTGGAAAAGTCTGGGTTCTTTTTCTTTTTTTTATTGTAAAGAAACACTATCTTCTTTGAAAGATGGGGAAAGAAACGTTTCAGAGCTGGAATGTTTCTCTCCCATCAGCTCTCTCCAGGCCCTGAGGTTGGATGTGACACCAGGGGAGAGCCTGAGGGGAAAAAATGGCCACATTTGGGTCATTCTTGGCATCTTCCTTCCCCATCTTTGCCATCACAGTTGCTTTCTAGTTCCAGATGAGCATGGCTTTCAGTTCCAATATGCCCCTCTGGTTTGGCAAGTGTTCTGTTGCTGCTTGTGTTAGTTCCTTATGAGCCATCCCCTTCCCCCTGGGCTGAGAGCTCTGAGGGGTCTCTCCAACTCTCTGCTAGACACATCTCCCTTAGGATCCTTTGCCCTTCCTTTGTTCTCCTTATTTTTATTTTTTAAGTATTATTATTATTTTATTTTTTTGAGTTGTGCTCCTTTACAGTGTGAGAATCATTCCATGACAGAAGCCTGGGAGGTGTTTGTATGTTGTTTTGGTTTTTTTTTTTCCTTTGAATCCTATTAAAGAAGAGAATTCCCCAAACGTCTTTGATTGTCGTGACGTCTTTTACTTAAGTCAAGACTGAGTTACTCCTGGGGAAGAGGAATACAAGTCCTGCCTGTGATTGGACTCAGCTCACTGAGGACTTGAAGGAGCATTAAAGGCACAATCAAACCTGAAAGTATTGAGTGGGCAAATCTCACTTGGACACTTGGAAATCATAAAG